TAAGCCGCGGATTAAATTATTTAAATTCGACCTCTGTGGCCGAATTTAAAGAATTTGAGCGGCGGTTTAAATTTAAGCCGAGGCTTAAATATTGTTGGTTCCACTTAAAATTGAATAAAATGTTTCAAGATTTAAGTCGGCGCTTAATTTAAACCGAGTTTTGGCAGATTTAAACCGCGGCTCAAATTCTTTAAATTCCATCTCCGGACTCTTTAATTCTAAACCCTAATACCAAAGTAAATTCTAATCTAAAAATACGGAAGAGGAGCGCCGGCCCCGACTACACCAAACGAGGGTTGTCCTTTAATAATAATAATAATAATGGATCGGATCAGGTTCTAATTTTATTTCAGAGACAAGATTTAGTTTCGAAACAAAAAAGATTTGATCCTGACAGACAAGTTTATGGTTGGACGAAAATATTGTTGAATTCTATCCTGACAAACAAGAATATGGTTGAATTCTATTCCGACAAATAAGAATATGTTTGAATTCTATCCTGACAAACAAGAATATGTTTGAATTCTATCCTGACAAAAAAGAATATGTTTGAATTCTAAGCTGATGAACAAAAATATGGTTGAAATCTATCCTGACAAACAAGAATATGTTTGAATTCTATCCTGACAAACAAGAATATGTTTAAATTCTATCCTGACAAACAAGAATATGTTTGAATTCTAAGCTGATGAACAAAAATATGGTTGAAATCTATCCTGACAAACAAGAATATGTTTGAATTCTAGCCTGACAAACAAGAATATGTTTGAATTCTATCCTGACAAACAAGAATATGTTTGAATTCTATAAGCTGAGGGACAAAAATAGGGTTGAATTATATTATTCTGACAGACATGTATATTGTATAGGTTTAAATTCTTGACAGACAAGAATAGTTCTGAATGTTATCCTAAAAGACAAGTACAAGTTTGAATTTGGGAACAACTCTGACTAGTTCTTGAATATTTTTTTAGATAGTATTGAGGAGGCTCGTAGAAGAATTCGAGATCATGTTTCCCATAAGCAGGTAAACAGGGTTTTGATATCTATCTATAAATTTGGCTTGTCTGTCTGTCTGTTTGTATCCAATAAACGTCAAAACGGCTAAACCGATCGAGCCCAAATTTTTTGTGGGACATCTAGGGACCCCAGGAAAGGTTTATGAATGATCAAAATTTCAAATATTTGTCTCCATCAAAATTCGATCTTCATTAAATTTTTGAAAATTTTGAAAATCCACGAAATTTTTTGTGAAAATCCGCGAATTATTTTTGTTTTGTTTTACGATGTACACAAAGAGAACATGTTCACAATTAATTTAAAAGGCTAAGGCTAGTGAGATAAATTTATCTTCAAGAAAATTAAATCTTGACATATTGAAATTTAGTAACCCCCCCCCTCCCCAATAAAAAAAATAAGTTAAAAGAAACAAGATTAAATATTTTTCTGTATCAATGTTTAGGAGGAGACACGATTAATTACGTCCTGTATAAATGAGCTAGGATTAATACAACTGGATAAAGAAGATTCCATTACAACCACACAGATGATTGTTTGTTGCTCAGCTATGCTTGGTAAACCTTAACTTTATTTGCTGATTTTTAAACACACCTTATTAATTGATTAATTACGTTTTAAGGAAGAATTCACAAACTTAGACATCTCACTCACGGAATACATATAATTGTATCAAGGTAAAATATTTGTTCTATTGCACACTTTTTCGAAAAACAGATTTATTTTGCTAGATATTACATGGTGAAGAGTGATGGAGTGATCTGTATTCCTTGGAATCTTAGCTTCGGAGACTCGGATATCAGAGATCATAAAAAGGATCAAACTATTCAACATTTAGCCTTATATTAATTATATTGTCATTTTTTACGGACAGAATCTTTCTTCTTAGAGCGGAGTTATGGTTTACTATAGATGATACTGCATAGCTGACATGAACTCTGTCCCACTAAACTATGCCGATGCAGATTTCAAAAGAAAAGAGAAAAAATCATTTTACATAAATATTTGAAGATAAAGCATACAAATATTTCCAACTCTGCTCCCCCGGTTTTCAGTCTTTTTTAACAAACTAGGATTTCAGGGCGTTTCGCGTCCATCTTTTATTTCAATTCTGAACATTTTCACTTTCATACATTGTAAAACAAAAACAAAAACAAGTTTGCGGATTTTATACGAAGAAATTTAAAGGGGGTAGCTTTATTTGAAAATCGGTTAAGAAAGGTTCAACCCTTCACAAAAGTTGATGATGGTTTATCAGTTTTAACCTCTTCAGAAACGGTTTCGTAAGGGCTTTCCGATCCAAATTGAAACCATAGTCTATTCCCTGGTCAGTAAAATCAATGATTTCCAGGGGCCAGGTCCCCCGGCCCTGGAAAGAAAATGTAAGCCCCCGCTGAACAACTTCCTTTAAAGATCCTTGGTTTGAGTTAAAGTATAAGTCTGTCCCTACATGATGACGTGCTGCATCGTATTTAGATCTTTCTATATATTATTATTATTGTTATTATTGTTAGAGTTTATTTAAGATAGGGAGGTTTCTAAATTTATAAAGTCGTGTTACTCTCCTTTCAGAGAGAATGCTTGAGTTTGAGAAGGATTTAGAGAATATTGTTGGATATACTGTACTTTTCCCTGCAATATCGGTCGGAAATGTCGGTAAGTTTTACCTGGCTTAAATAAATTAATGGTTAATAACTATATACGAGGTGCGTCCAATAAGTTTTGCGAAAACATTTTCAGAGGTACTTCTAGATGTCTTAGTCCTACATTTTCTTTTAAAGTTTAATATATTTATATAGGATTATTTTTCAGATGAGTTGATGTTAATCATATCTTTGTTGTAATGTAAGGAGCGTTCTCCCGAAAGTATATCGTTCGTCACAGCAAGAAAATTTTAAGAATAGTCTCAAACTTAATCCATCAAAGTCTGTTTTAGACCCTTTATGAGCGATCAAAAGAAATGAGAGATTGAGTAAATTTAATATATGAAGGACTTTTGAGCATTTTTTCTAGTTTTAATTAACGTTTGAGATCCATAATTAACGTAATCCCTTTGGTCCTATGTCAGAGACTTTGGGACAAGTTTGACTCAGATCTTTGTCATTTTCTAAGTCTTGCTTTACAACTTTGTTCACAATGTAAAAGCGTACATCAGCTGTCTGACAAACATACTTCCTGAACCCTTGCTAATATTGTTTAAACAGTTTTAATTATTTTCGGCCATTTTTGGGTCTTGATGGTCTTTTCCTGCCCGGACATATCATAATCCTATAAATATTCATCTTTTCCATTAAAGTTCAAAAAATCGTTTTAAAATGCCTTCTGGATCATTTTTTAGGCTGCTGCTTGGTTTTTACATCTTCTAATAATTTTTTTTTTTGGTAACCGAGCCGTTAAAGCTTCCTTTTTCTAGATATTTCTATGCTGTAACAACGAATCTAATCCACCGTCAGGAGAACACTCATTACATCACAACAACAATCTGTTTTACGCCAGCCTGGCCAAAAATATATTGGGTATAGATATAGGCATGCGCGCAACTAGACATTCAGTTTTTTGAGCATTATCAAAATAAAATAAGGGGCATTTTTTTAGATGATTCTGAAAATTTTAAAGTTGAATTTATCGTTTGGGGATAAAAAAATTAAATTAAGGTGCAAATTAAAAATATTTGGTGGCATTCTAAAAAACAAGGATTACAAATGTTGAACAAAGGGGCAAATCTAAGTCTTTTTCCAAATTTTCGAGAAAATTATCTATTTTTTTTTAATTATTTGGACCCCTGGTAAATACTTCTTGCCCCACCCTACATGGGGGGCAAGCTTTATTAAGGGGGTGACATTCCTCCCCTTAATCATCCTAGGGGGCGCCGGTCCCCCATGACCCCCCCCCACTTAGTCGCGCGCCTAGACATAGTGAACTTAAAAAAAAACTACAGGGCTGAGACATCGAGAAGAACCGCTAAAAAATATTTCGCAAAACTTATTTGACGCACCGGAACCTCGTATTTGACGCACCGGAACCTCGTATTTGACGCACCGGAACCTCGTATTTGACGCACCGGAATCTCGTATTTAAATCTCAACTGTAGAATACATTTTACATGTTTAAAACAGAATTAAAATGTTTTCACAAATATTTAGGTCAGCTATGCGTAGATGTCGTTCTAGAAAACGTACACGCATCCCTCTCTTCTCAAGGTGAAGGATCATTAACTATTTTTATTCATAAAGTAATGGTAAAAGTATCAAAAAGTGGTAGAAAGAATTGCAAGTAAGAGTTCTATTCATTTCATTCTGGAAGTCTATAGGAAATCGGAAGTTGTCGAGAATTTACCAGCAGATTCTACATTAACTTATTAATTGTACAATGCACATTGGACAAAAGCTGGGTTTCATGTTCATTTGAATATTTGAAATCATTTCTCGAGTCTTAAAGTCGTCTTCCTATTGGACAGTTTATAAAAAACAAATAAATAATTTCGCTTTTCTGATACAGGGTGTCCCAATAAACATGATAATAG